TAATATCATAAATGATGTATCAACTTAAAACACAAATTTATCATCAATACAATCATAACACAACGTAAAACATCATACTATTTAAGCAACTTACTATTGAATTTATTGTTGAGATTGTTGAAGTTATGGAAATTGTTGAGTTAATTACTGAGTAAATTATTGAAGCCCCTCATAAAGATCTTTATGAAGACTGAAGAAGTTTTAGTTTTGATGATGTTAGCATTAGATTTGTATAGATTTATTTAGATTTCTTCATTCATTTTTGTATTTCATGGCCTATGTTGAAAATGATATTGTATTGCTTGTTATTAGACTTAGGCTTGAGTGTGTTTGCTTATTATGATGAATTAATTTCAAAATTACATCTTATTTTATAAAGCATAAAACTCATCTTTCAACTTAATGTTTCTCATTTCATGTGAAAACATAATGCAAGAGATTACAATATGTTTTGACATAAAATGAAACTGGTTCATTCAAAAGAATTTGTGATTAAGTCAAGTAATAGATTACCATGTGAGGTAATAGATTACTAAAACTTAGCTTTTAAGTGGGATTCAACATCCTCTCTATGACAATTGATTACCTATTCATATAGTTGATTACCATGGTAACTTTTCAGTGAAACAAGTTGAAAATTCATTGAGATAATTGATTACCAACTTCAGTAATCGATTACCTCTGATGAAAAATGAGTTCTAAAGTTCCTGAAACACGAGATAATCGATTACCAGGATCAGTAATTGAACCTCTAGTCTTGTTTCAACAAGTTTCAATTTCATTAAAAGTTGGTAATAGATTACCTAATATTGGTAATAGATTACTACTATTACGAGTTTTTAATGATAAAATCTTATTTGCTCTGTAAATATAACTCTTTTCAAAAGCTAAAAGAGATATGAAAAAGGATGACATATTTGATTAGAAAGATCAAAGAGTGAAAAAGAAAAAAACATTTTCAAGAATCTAAAAATTATTTTTTAGTGAAGATCAAATATTTTTTAAAACAATCAAAAAGCAAAGAAAATTCAAGAAAGATATTACCTCGAAAGAAGTTCAAGAAATTAAAGATTGTTGAAAAATTCTTTATTGAAAATCAATCTACACATGAGGTGCATCAATTTTGATCTTTAACCTTTTGTTTGGATAGTAGGGTATGTTATGGCATGTGACTCTTTGAGATAAGGGTATCTCAAGAAAGAGTGAAAGAGAAATCTTGAGATAGGTTTTCTCAATGGATTCTTGAGGTGCAAGAATTCTACTGATTGTATAATCTTATGGGATCAAGATTAGGTGATTGTGTTTTTTGATTATAATATTGATTATAATAAATTTGATATACTTTGTATCTTGTTTGGTTTGTAATCTGAATGTGGTTAGTAAAAAGTTGTATAAGAGAGAAAGAAATTCTCAAGAGAGCAAGAAATACCATTAGAAGTCTTCTAAGCAAAGAATCTATTTGAGCCCCCTTCTAGATTCATGTTCTACCCGGGACCAACACTTACAACAATAGAAAACTTGCAACATTAGGCAACTTATCACAATAGGCAACTTACAACATAATCATCAACATACAACATACCAATTTTCAACATATAGATTTCATTATCATATAACATCATCCATATAACTTATTTATCATCATTTATCCATAAAACAACTTAAACAACAAGTGTTCATCATACAACTCATTTATCATATAAGCAACCAGCTCAATTAGAGAAGAAAGTTATTAGACTAAGTTCCCAAGTTGAACGTAGAATCTCACGTTGAGGCTCAAGTTCCCAAAGAATCAAGTAAGAAATTTGCCATTTCTCATGTTAAGCGTGAAACTCGCACTTAGACCCGACCTTCCAAAGGCACACCTAAGTTCTTAAGCTAAATGTGAAACTCACACTTAGCCTCGGTCTTCCAGAGGCACATCCAAGTCCTTAGACTAAGCATGAAACTCATGCTTAACCTTAGAAACTCATAAAATCATGCATAGTTGAAGAACAACCCAACATATATGAACACCACCCAATTAATCTCCAAAATTCTCTAAACTTATGCAATAATGAATGCACACAACCTTAGAATCTTCCAATTATAACAACATGCTACTTAGAAATCGAAGAAAAAGAGACATCCAACACCAAATCATCAACCAATGTATCAATCTTTCTCCCTTCATCAAGAACACCAAAAACTCATATTTCAACAAGCAAGGCACTCCTAAATTGATCCCCATAGCTATGAATCTCAAAGATTCCATCAATATTAAGTTCATAAATCACTCAAAAGCTCAACATTTCAACTAAAGCAAGAATTCTAGCTTCCATTACCTCGTATTTGAAGAGAATGAGGATGAAGGAAGAAGAAACCAAACTTCGTGAAATGCTACACAAAACCATCACTACTCAAATCTCAGCCTTCCGAGCCTTGAATCTTAGTACCACTACTACATCTAAGCTTCGGAGGGGGATCATTGGACTCTAAAGGGGTCTCAAAGAAGAAGAGATTCTCTCACTTTCCAGAGCTCCTCTCTTTAACTTCTCTCTACGATTCTAGAGTTATGAACTTATGAAGTTCATTGCTCAAAATTCACCTTATATACCACAACCCTCCCTAGGCCAACTCTCACACACTTAAGTTATTATATCCTTTATAACTTAAGTTTAGAATTATCAAAACTCTAACTTCCACCTAACCAAAGCTACAACAACAAAATAATATGAAATACAATACTTATATTTGTAACGATAACCATATTTAAGAAAACATGGTGTTACACATAAAAGTGGTCTTGAGTTTGATGAAACATAGTCTAATACATCATACTCTAAATCTAAGACTATTCTTTGTAACATCTATGAAAAGAATAATTATCCCCTAGTAAATGCAAAAGCGAACAAAAATAGAGAAATAAGTCTAAGGTCAAGGGTACTAACAAAAAAAGACCAAAAAATATTTGGATACCAAAATCTCAAATAATCTCTGTTGCAAATATCTTTGGTGAAAAAAATAAGGATTCGCATTGGTACATGGACAATGACATTAAAGATAATGAGGTTAGTAGTGATGGTTACAAATCCATATAACACCATTAAAATTGGAATTCAATTGTGAGAACAATAATGATCATATAAATAAGAGAATAAAAATAAAATATGATAAGAGCATAATAAATTTTTCTCTCTTTCGAAAGCTCTTGATCCTATTATAGTATTATGTTCTCAGTAGCATGTGTTTAAGCAAGTATGCTCTGTGCTCGCCTCTTCAAGAGAATCTTGTACAACAGAACGCTATGAACCATTGATCTAGTGTTTTCCGGTCCTTAGGATTTATGATAAATTTGACTGATATAAGACAAAGGCTGAAAAGAGTAGGCGAGGGATGCCGAAAAAGTAAGCAAGGTCTTATTTAGTGGAAATTGATTCATAAGTCTTTAACAAATAAAAAAAACATTATTATATTATAATAACATTATACTTTGTCCAAAAAAAACTTATTATATTATATATTCAACATTTAATATATATCAATAAGTTATTATATATTATATTTACATAATAAAATTTTTTTTTATTAAAATTACGTAAAATATTTTTAAAAAATGAGTATTAAATTAATTTTATAAATTTTTCATATGCAAAAAGATATAACTTTAACTATATTACATATTTTTTTTTAATTTGGATAGTTACTTCTGTTAAAATTATATGATATTTTTAAAATTATAATTTTCAAATATTTATCTAAAAATTATTTAAATAATACATTTTTTTTAATATTTTGGTTAATAATATATTTTATATTTACACATCAAAATTATTATAATTATATTATATGCTTCCTCAAATTCTTATAATTAGATAATGTTAATTAAATCAAACGAATTAACACAGATGATTATGTTAATTGATTTTATTAAGTTTATAAAAAAAATAATGAGTTACCAATTTTATCATTAAATTTTTATAAGAGATGAAGATATTATCCATATAAAAGCTTATGCACCAATACCAATAAAAATGATAGATAATAATTTTAAAAAAATTAAAAAAGTAAAAGAAACTCGTACTCTCAAAATCTTTAATAAAAATTTAAAAATAAAAAAATAAAATTAATGTTCAAAAAAAATTATAAAAGATCTTATAAAAAAGACCTTACAATTCTTTATAATAAGAACCAACCAAAGTTAGCATAAAATAAAATATTTAATATAAATATATAATATTTTAACTAAAATAAATATTTATAATATAATACATATTTCTATATATTTTATAAATAATATTTAATATAATGCTATATTTATTATAGTTTTTATTTTATATAATAATAATGGAAAGAGATTCGTTTAATCTAGAAATCTATCTAGACTTACTCTATCTAATAACTTATATTCTACACCAAATGTCAACGATATAAAATCTATAAATCATTTAATATTTAAAAATTATTTATTATTTTATTGATCAAATCCATTGATCAAATCTACAAATTTTTAAAATATTTAAAAATTATTTGATATTTCATTTCATTACTTCAAATTAATGAACAGTCATAATATCATTTAATATATGCATTAAGAACTTCAACTTCAATGATTAAATCGTTGAAATTATATGTAAAACATGAATTATTAAATAAAATAAATCTAGATAATCTTACTTTTTAGAGTAAAAGATCTCTCCTCAATAATAATATATCATAATATAATATAGAAAAGATAGATCTTATCCTATGGAGTTGCTTCAACTCAACTACTCCTCCAAATAAAAAGAAATATACTAGACCAATAGAATATAATAAATCTATCCGCAACAATCATCAGATTATAACAAGATATATTTTCGCCACCAGACGGACATTAGCATTCTAATTAAACACAATTATATTGAGACAATACAAATTGACATATTTTTTATTATTTCATAAACTTGTAGAATATCACTTTCATTGTGTAAATTGAACAGGTCAAAAATATAAATATGGGTGGAATAAAAATAATTAAATATTCACATAAAACATAATCATATTAATAAATTACGAGATTATATTTTTATCAGGTAATATCTATTTATAACCAACCATGCGTTTCTTCTTACAACGATGCCAGTAACTGCAAGAGAATGACCAAGCTCGCCAATTTTTCTTCCCATTTGGAGGATAAATTGTATAAATGTTCAACGTCCGCAACATTAAAACAATCTAAGACATACTGTATAACAACGACAGCTTGGTACACCATTATATCGACATTAAGCAGAAGTTTCAATAATACCAAGCAATGCTGCATAAGGAAATTTGCTACTCGTCATCCTGAGGGTCAAAATCCTTAACCTTCACGTCTGCATCTTCTCCATACTGAATGCAGTTGTCAATTTGGGCCAGTACATATTGAATACTGTAGATGAGAACAATCCAATAATAAGTATAACAAAAAAATGACTTCACTTTTGAAGGTAGTGTTTAACAAATGAAACAAAGGACATGAGACTATGGACTTTAAAGACAACTATGAAGAGGTCATTCCTGTAGTTTACCAAAAGATTAATTTGGTTATTGAAGTGGGAACAGGATTGACCAAAATCAACGTGATAAGTCATAACTTCCAAATTAATGAACAGAAGCCCACTTTATAGCCTAAGTGAAAATAATTCAAGAATGAGCACTTATCAAGTCCTACATAACATAAGAGGAATGACACAAGCTGCATCCAAGGTTAAACAAAAGGTTAAAGTTGCCTCATTCAATACAATACCCAAAACCTATTTTGAGCATGTTTGGGAAGATTATAATCCAACATTTCAACTGTTTTTTGGGTGAAAAAACTGTACATTTAAGACTGAAGGTTTAACTTTGTAAACAACTTTTTTCTCGGAAAACTAAGTTGTTTTCATGAAGCCGAAAGTTTGAAGCTTATAATTATTTCTCAGTAATTTTTATCTTCCTTAAAAGATGAATTAGTGCACAGAAACTGGTTTATTTATCTTTTTTTCGTATTCAAACAAAATTCAACATCTCAAAAACACTTTTCAACAATTTTATCCAAACAAAAATTCATTATGATTATAGTCAATAATAATAACAATTATCAATTATACATATATTGATTATTGAAATAATCTAATTTTCAGTTTTCACAACTTTCCCAAACATGCTCTTTATCTAGTAAGAACCAGGAAATAATCCGGTTGTTGCAGACTACTGTTCTACAACAGAGACAGCTAATGTAGCAAACTTTAACTATGGTTCAAGTTTGAATTCAAATTAACAAGAACTACATAATGTAACAAATTTGGCATGCTAATTCAAGAGCACAGCATAGTTCATATATCTCAGGAAGACAACAACTACAGCAATCATATTTTATTAAGCAATGACACCTGTATTCTCTCCCCCAACCCCCCCACACCCACAGTATTCAGACTGTATATTCTACTTGTTTCCACCACTAAACTAGAGAGGCAAGCTCTTTCATGAAATCAAGTCAAAATGTATACAAAGCCCGTAACCAGTTATCAACACAGCCTCCAGTACACAAGCTACAAGAGTCATAATTTGAGTTCCATTGATAGAAATCAGTTCCTATATAATAAAATGGTGATTTGTATTGATTAAGAAAATAAGAAAGTACTAAAGTAACATAAAAACAATGTTTTCTCCCAGCCAAGGGTAAATCCTATGGTCCCAGCTATAAACTAAGAAACTGATAAAACATGTCCTCTCCTTCCCCCCACTATTTTCTTTGTATCATATCTATATCTTCTCTCTTTGTAACTTCCCTCCACTCACCTTTGCTCATGTAAATTACAATTAAGCTAAGTTTTGGCCTTAGCATTGTTTTTAAATAGCCGCTATGTGGCATTTTAAGACTATTGCATTGCGGAATTCCTTGAATCCACAATCATGACTCTGTCAACTATAGCAGCCACTATGGTGTCATGTTTCAGGCTTTCAGCATGTATCCTACATCCTCTAGTTATCTCTGCGGAGTCTCCAACTAATTGAACTTTTGAGTTAATCTTTTGCCCATTTTTATGCATTTTATTTTCATTTGCATACAACATTTTTATACATAGATAATTGATATATGTCATATATTTTAACTGCTAAGCAACTTCCACTATTTGCCTGAAACGCTATCCACTGTATGATATAGCAGATTATTGACTTTCTGCCATTTTCCACAATTTGCAATTGATATCACTGGGCCTTAGGCATATAGGTATAATGGTATATTGTAGATCCTTTTTGGGCCCCTGAGCCTACTGTGTGTCCATGGTACCATCATCAACTTTAATAGTTTAAGTTCTGCCATTTTTTTCTTTTTTTGGTAAAAATAATGTATGTTTGTTTCAGTTCATATAATTCAATTTTGATATTTCAACATCATCAATGTCAAATACGTAATATCAATCTATGACACAGCCACATGCAAAATTATATCCCTTTTATGCTAACAGTATAAGATTCTTCGATAAATGTACAGGTAGCTACGATATGCAAGGAAAAGATAGAGAGGAGTGTACCTTTTTTCCTTCCTGAGGTCTAGTGGTATGAAACTCACCATGCTGTAGTTATTCACCTGTTCAGAAGGAATGCATAAATAAATCAACTGCTGGAACCAAAATAAAGTGACAGAGTTTAATCAACATTTCTATGAAAACTCAGTGGTAAGAGAATAATCAGAATGGCTGACCCACGAAGAGAGATGTGAGAATGAGTTGAACGGAACCTACATTCCTTAATTATTTTAGATGACAGACACTGACCCAAAGCGGATGCAAATTTTATATTTATTTTGAAGAAGTGATGATGATCAAATATATATAAAATAGTCACATGATGTGAGGAGCAAATGTGAAAATCATGGGTAAAATAATAGCACTCAGCTAAAATATCATTTTAAAGAAAAAAATTGTCTCCCCTGGTTATCTTGCTCAGAAAGCAACCAACCAACATTTGTTGTTGCTAAACATCACCCAAGTAATATTTTTATAAAAAAAGAAAGAATCAACTAAATTGTTTATTAGACCATTATCTACAAAAATCAACAATACTTCAGTGAGTTCAGTCTATAACAATTCTAATAAAATTGCTATATAAGTTCCCTGATAGTAGTCTCACATTCTACAACACCCCATTCCCGTGTATGACTATAGTGTAAATTGCTATTGAATTGTAAAAGTTTATTATGACATGGCAAATAACCTGGACATTAATAATGGTTTAACATTGAAAACCAACATGTACATAATTTTAACTTAATTTATAATATTATTGGGAAAGACGGAAAAAAGCACAACTTAAAAAAAATCAAATGATACCCACCAACTCAATTAAAGCTTTATTCAGCTTTGCATACTGAGGACCCATCCGTTGATTCAATTCAGACAGTAAAAAGGTGGGCTCTGGATCCAAAAATCTAGGAGCAAAAATATATTAGAATTTAAACAAATGAAATGATGTAAACAAATTTGGAAAAGAAATTTTAGTAAAAGTGATTACTCTTCAAGATCTTTTTTGTTTGTCACAAGGTCCATCTTTGAGAGGATATTAACATGAGGTAGTTCAAGTTGAACCATAGCAGAAAGGCATGCCATGCAACCACTTATGAATTTGGTCACATCTGTCATGAACTGGAAGATTTTAAAATTATTAAGAGTCGACAATGATAATAATACAAATATGCAATAACTGGAAGTCTACACTCTAAAGAAATATGAGGGAACCAATAGCTTAAAAGGAAAATGATTTCAGAAAACTACCACAAACCTGTGAATCAAGTAAGTAAACAGCACAAACATTAAAATTTTTCCGTTTCAAATGTTCCACAAAATTCTTAAGTACTGGCACATGTGAATAAAGTTCTATCTGACCTGCAAAACATTACAAAGTAGAGTTGATTGATCATAATTTGTTAGGTTAGTTGCAACCATCAAAATTTATAAACAATTTTAAGATAATCTTCAACATTACAGAAACTGGTCATATGACTGTTTGGTTCTAAAAGGAAAATTTTTACTAGTTCATTATACAACCCATTCTGATTTTGTGGCCACACTCATGATTGCATTTTATATTTTATAATTATAACAATATTATCGCCTCACAATCACAATATTCTCCAAATGTGAAACTTTTTTCCAATGCTAAAACATATATACATATAATAAAACAAAATAGGTAGAGAGAAGAACACGAATACCAGGGCAGTCAAAAACCAAGTAATCATCATCTAAATAATTGTCCAGTTCCTCAGTGAGCCAATCATCTAGGTTATCTTCAAGGTGTCTAAATATGATTATTAAGGAAACAAATTTTTAAATCAAATTTTAAAAACAGAAAATAACTAGCATAGGGAGATAAAGGGGAAAAGGAGAAACAGTGAAACAAAAAAAAATGTACTAGTAATAATCATAATCTCTACTTAAGACAGCCTGAAAAAAACAAACAAGAATCACTGTTTCACAGAAGGTTGTGGAGAAGATAGAGAACAGCCCTTCAAAAAGCCATAGAACATAGACAGAAAAAGAAAAAATCTAAGAAAGAAAAGGATACTCCATGCAGTAGACAAGACCGCCATTTGGACCCAATCCAAGTTCCTCCATAACATCATCCAGGGAAATCAGTTCCCTTATATCTGCAAGCATCTCAGCCAAAAATAAAAGTCAGGCTCCAAAAATCACAAATTCGAAACCCGCATAAGAAATAACCACATAACACACATTCTACATACCCATTGCAACGGGATAGTCAAAATTTTCAGCAGCAGGATCAAGGTTCACCACATTTATTGTGCGACGCGCAGCCACACAGTGTTCGTACAAACTCGAGCAATACGTAGACTGATAGCAAAAGGCAAAACACACACATTAATAAGCATCTCAACATTCAGTTTTCAGGGGAGGGGGCAGCTTTGCAAACAAAGCATGCACCAAGTACACACATATCAAGGTTCCAAACTGTGGCAAGTAACCGCTATAGCAGCAAGAACTCTCTAAACCGCAATTGCAGCCACATTTATCAGCAAGTTTTTGCAATTTCCAAAATTCATTGCAATGCAACCGCAATTCAAAACCATGATACGTAATTTAACACGGCAAATGAGGCAAAAACAATAAAATTACCTTGCCACTACCAGCAGGACCAATTACAAGTTGTGCATAACCCATGGCAACGTTATCGAATTGCAAGGTTTCAGAAAGTGCAGAGGTAATTTACGGCTCGAAAGGAGGCAAGAACTGCAACAGTAACATAAGCAGTGCACCAAACCGCCACGGCCAACAACAAAGTCATGACATCAGTGTAGGCCATAAACGACACAGTACTACAAAACCTGAACATTAGCAAATATCAAACCCAAAAAAATGAAAAATAGAAAATAAAACGCTTCATTCCCATTTTTTATCGTCACTGTTTATGCAATGCAAATTGGCAAGTTTGGGGGTTTTCTTGTCAATTGCACAGAAGCCAAATTAGAATAACGAAAAACGCAAGCAAGTGGGTCAATGAATTTTGATCATGGTAGTGAAGAGAGAGAGAGAGAGAGAGGGCTAAAGTCACCGTCACGAACGGACCTGTGAGCTGCGTCGGTGAGTGTTTCAGTGTTGAACGAGTTAGGGTTGGATTGTTTGAAGAAGGAGCGAACTGTAAAGAAAAACGCGGAATGAAAGGTCTCCGGGCTTCAAAAAGGTTGCGGAGATCGTACTCGTACATATGTATACAAAATGTCGTTAACTTTTTTGATCATGTTTTTTTTTTTTTTAATACATAAAAAAATATATATCAATAAACGTCTTTTACTTTAATTCATTTCCACGGAAAATAACAATGAAAAATAACATAAAAGTTAATGAAAATTAATATTTTTTAAAAGAAAAAACAATCCCAAAGATGAATGGCATGTTGAATAGGGTTGAAAAATTAGATTGAAAATAAATAAGTATATAGAAAAGAGAGAAATAAATAAGAGATAATATAAAATTTTTGATTTAAAAGAAATAATAATGTTTAGTTTACTAAAGGTCATTGGCAAGTGTTTATTAATCAAAGATTGATGTTCTATTTTTGAGTTGAATATGTTGCGATCGAAAATATACTTTGTAGGTATTAATGCAAAAAATAATACTCTTTCATCTAAACTAATTATAATCATTGATGAAAATCATTGAAAAGATAGTTGATGTTTTCTTTCACTGGTCTCTTTGTTGAGACCAATCTTCTTTCATGGATGAAACAAGCTTTAAAAACTAAAAATGATGGAGAGATTTAAAGGATGGGTGTGTCACTTTCTTTAGGAGAGAGATAACCAAGAGGTAATGATCTTGTCACAAGGAGAAATTCTTTAATAAAATATCTTAAGGAAAGATTTATCCAAAGTGGAAAACTAAGGCTTTTAGAAGAGAAAACTCAAAGGTTCATTCTTATATACCATCAAAAGTAATTTGGTCAATACAAGAAAAAGCTATATATAGAATTTGGCTAGCTCATGGTGCCAACTCGACGAATGGTTAAATGTAACTAAGGTTAATTGTCTTGCACTTAGTCTAACAACTCTAGTTACATGTTTGGAAGCTTATGGTGTTAAGTCAAACGAAGAAATTCCCAAAAAGGTTTTGAGTGAGACAAATATAATATATGTTGTTATCTCTAACAAGTGAGTTAGTGTTTCAGAAAGACATAAGAACAGGTAAAATGACAAAGAGGCACAAGCATCAGATGATATAAGACGAAAGGCCAACATAAGCACTCAACAAGCCAAATCAAGAACAAGACCATGCCAAACACAATCTAAGGTGTCGCCACCCGCCGAAATGGACCATGGCATTCGCGACGATGGTTGGACTCGTTTTTATATGTTCGAAAAGTGGTGGATTGTTAGAACGACTTATTCCCAAAACTGAGACCTCGTCGAACTAACAATTTTATTAAATGAGTCACTAATCCATGTTAATCTCAAGCGAGACCCTCCATGGAAAAGTGGTTTTCGCAAACAAAGGGTTCTTGGAGTCGCCACCAATGTTTTACTCAAAACATTGGAAAAAGAGATAAGGCAATTGATTTCAAAAATCAACTTTGGCCATTACAACCAGAGTCGGGTAAGGGAGTCGGTTACGTGCGAGGAAGGTGTTAGCACCCCACAACGCCCCTTTCGGGTTCCCTATGACGGATTATTTTATTAATAATAGTGTAAAATTACTAAATTACCCCTATTTATTATAAACGGCTATGAATAAGATATCTACATGATGAATAAATTAAACATGCGATGCAACAATCAGAAAGCAGTAAAAGGAAGGATTTTGAAGAAGAAACCTTTGAAGCGTGCTTTTATATATTCAAATGTTAGGAGGCTTTTTGGCGCTCCCTCCCACTACACGCTCGCTCGCTCCTTCCCTAAAAATTAATCTTTACTATGGAAATCAAAAAGATTTCCCTTCGACTAGTTCGAATTCTCAAGCTAAATGCTCAGAACTCAAGAACTTCGTCGGATCGGCTCTCGGAGAGAATTCTAGGGCAGAACACTGCTCAAAAACCCCAGAATACTCAAGAAGAGAGTCCAAGAAGTGTGGAAAAGTGTCGAATGACGTCCAAATGACGTCCTATATATAGGAGTGAGGCGCAGTACGGCCTCTGACATCAATACCGCCCGTACTGAAGTTTTGAACTACAGTACGGTCGTATTGAATTCAGTACGGCCGTACTGAAGTTTCAAAAACTTCAGTACGGCCGTATTGGTTTCAGTACGGCCGTACTGAAGTTCAAAAACTTCAGTATGGCCGTATTAGTTTCAGTACGGCCGTATTGTAGTTCAAATTGTTCAGTACGGCCGTACTGAACTTCTAGGAGGCCGTATTGAGCTTCAATTCTCCCACTTTCTTATTTTTGGCTACTCTAAGACCTCTAAACCTACAGATAGTCATCCTATGGTCTTCTAGGAGTCCTTCTGACTGACTTTCCTTCGATCTTTGAGAGTCTTCGAGTCTTATTTCCGACCCGGACAATTTTAGGGGTCTACATAAGGCAGCACATAAAGACTCATACGAAAGATGGTCAACGACCAAGAAGAAACTTCAGAAGAAATGGAAAGCTTGACCATATACCGGGTTTACCAAGACAAAAGGAAAAGTCATAATGTTGATCAGACAAAGGTCAAAGTATTGAACTAAATGTCGACTATCAGACGCAGACGAAGAATGACACATAATCACTTGAGAAATCATGGGTCAAAAGAAAATTTGAATATCGTCCACACTCACAGGAGAACACACGAAGTTATCAGAATTGTAAGAAGAAAAGAAGAAAGGAGAAAATCAAGCGCAGAACTATAAGCATGCATGTGTCAGAAAAAGTACATTACTTTTTCAGACAAGGACAAAACTTCACAGCTATGAGACTAGAAAAGGACAAAAAGGTTCCTAAGTCTCTGCTAAACTTAGACACTGCTGCTACCAAGACAAAGATCACTTCACGCAAGGTCTATCACAAGAAGCAACATTTAATGCAAGAATCTGAGCATTAAATGACAAAATCAAATGGGTCGTGAATGACTATGTCTACTTCAACGGACACTTGCAACGGGCAGATTTCCACTAGACTATATATATATATGACTACTTCAAACCTTAAAATGTTGGCTTTTCAATTGGAAGAAAAAGAGTGATATCAATCCCACGAGATAGAGACCAGAGATGAGTATACATAGTCATATGTACAATGTAATATTGTATTTTTATCTCTATAGACTAAGGTGTTCGAAATGTCATTAATGGACTAAACCTCTGAGAGTGTCGTAAACCTATATATCCTCTCCATGAGAGTAACTCAAACACTCAAACACAAGTCTCTATAAGACTAAGGTAGAAAACCTTAGAAAGTGTAGATCCTATATGTATCCTCTCTGTGAGAGTGACCAAAACACTCAAACCTGATTATACATCTATCATTTGTAGAGCCTGGAGAGGCTAGGGAAATAATACTTGTAAAGCCCGGAGGGGCTTGTCAAAGAATACTTATTGCTAGCCAGAAGTGGCTGAGAAGAATATACTAGCGCTGGAAAGTTAAGCTGGCAGGCCAGGAGTGATCGAGAATACTTGGAGAACCAGAAGTGGTTTAAGAATACTAGCGTTGGTGAGTGAAGTCGACGAGCCAGGAGTGGTCGAGAATACTTGGAGAACCAGAAGTGGTTTAAGAATACTAGCATTGGTAAGTGAAGCCAACGGGCCAGGAGTGGTCGAGAATACTCAGGGCCAGGAGTGGTCGAGAATACTCAAATGTTCTTCATTTCATATCTAGTCAAACCCTTCAAGTTGAAGGAGACTGGACGTAGCTCAGTTGAGCAAACCAGTATAAAAGTGATTGCACTACTCTATCTATATTACAGATGCGGATTATTTTCAATTGTCAAATCACAATTATTCTTCGTCTACTATATATTCTTCATTAAAACCATTTTTCGGACGAAGACGCAAATTCTGTTTAACAAACATATTAGACTGAAAATCTTTATCCTCTACTTATCTTTAAATGCAACTATCTTGAAAAGGAAAATGTTAGAACTTCATTATTATCATCATAAAACATTTTTCTCAGTAGACGATGAATCCTTCAAATGCAATGACATTCAAAAGTGCGTTAGACAAAGAGCATTACTCTTGCGAAAATGTTTATAAAATTCCTTCGTACTAACACACATATATTCAACCCCCCCTCCTTCTATGTGTTTTTCATGTCTAACTTCATATGGAGCAAGCCAAGCTAACCTAGATTTAAAATAAGCCTAGGTTAGATTAACTATAAGTACCAAACCTAATCATTACACCTAACAAACTAATCATTATTTTCCTACAAGTTATTTAGATGTCACTATGATAAGCCATGTGACTAATTAACCACTTGGATGGCCTAATTATTTTGGTTTAGATGTCCAAACCACTTGCTTGTGCAAGTGGGCATGCAAGCCTATAGCCCAATTAAAATTTGGGTCATCCAAGCTTATTAAGTCCAACATGTCTTTAGCTAGTTACACCTCCTTTAAACTACTAATTACATTCTCAAATTAAAAATAATACAAGAACGAAAATTCCTCTACTACTTGACCAAAATACAAGGTCAAAAATAAAAGAAATATTTATAAGGAAAAATATACACAAATAAGATAAAGCAAGATACTATAAGAAACCCAAAGCTCAATAAGAGCTTGCCTTCTTTCTTCAAGTCTAGCTCACTCCTCTTGATTTCTTTAAGATTAAGCCCTTAAGCATGATTTCATTAATCACCTAAGAAGTCTTTGTAAAAACTGCCACATGTAGATGCTAGTTGGGACCAAATTGATGAGTAACAAACAAGGAATTATAGGGCTTTACTAAGACTTTGTTGTAATGAGATTTAGTTTTTACACCATAACAAATCCCTAACTAATAGGATGCTAACCTAATTAGCAATCTACATGGCCTTTACCCTAGAGCCAACATGGGGATCAAGTTTCAGCCAATCTGAAACAACATGGTCCAATATGTTGATGACTTCATGCCTAAGGGTCAAGTTCAAAAGAAATCAAGAGGAGTGGGCTAGACTTGAAAGAAGAAGGCCCATGCTCTTATTGAGCTTTAGGTCACTTATAGTAGTTTACTTTCTCTTATTTTCATATTTTTCATTGTAAATATTTTCTTGATTTTAACCTTATATTTTTTTGGTCAATTAGTATAGGAAATTACTTTTTTTTT